GTGTGTGTGTGCGTGTGTGTGTGTGAGCGTGTGTTTGGGGGTCAAAAACTCAAAGAGGATGAAGCTTTTTGTACATAACATGTAATGAATATGACAATTCAAAATCCTTTTTCAACAACACCCTCGTCAGTAGGGGCCAGTAAATACATTGTACGTGTCATCTTATCTTAATGAAAAAACACAACGACGCAATAACGGACATTTAGTGCAGGTGCTGGGGGGAAAAAACCCAAGTACTTGCCACACAAATTAGGTCATATAAGTGCTGAAGATTGGGTGTTACATTGCAAGAGAATAACAAACACATAAAAATAAAGAGGATAGATAAGGACGATAGATATTTGATAATAGGAAAGATTGAGCAAACCCGACAACCACCCACGGAGGAGGCAGAAAGCCTTTGTAAACACCAAACCACAGTGATTTAGCAATGCCTCGCTCGGCAGGGATACCGCTAAACTTTTAACTTGCTGTTATTGTTTTTTAAGAACCCTAGTAGAAGGCGCAACATTCTTGTTTTAAATGTTCATTCAGGACTCCGAATACTGAGGATCTCTCCCAGGATGGATGCCAGACCTCGGTGCGTGGCGTAATAAAGAAGTCTGTATATCTTTTGACTGTTTAGTTTTAGCAGAGGTTTCACAGCGCTCGCAACTGCATAACGTCATATGAGCGCCAAGGGGTGGATGTCAACAGAGAAGTCCTTACAGGGAATCAGATTTACTCTGCTCACCTCTCCAGCTTCAACAGCATAAAGTCTGCTTCGACTATCAAGGCACCCCGGAAATAGCGGGTCACAAGGGTGTGACAAACATACAAAAGAAGTAGAGAAAAATTACGATAGTAAGGATTAGGAAAGAAAAAGCAGCAGTTCCCTGTTGTAGTTCAGGGACATTTATAAGGATGACATTGTTGGATCAGCCCATTTACAATTCTACTGTGCATTAGAACGAGAAATGTCCCCCCTCTGGGAATGGCCTAAAGACACTTCAGTCAGAGGCACCGCCCCGGGGCGTTCATTTGTCTGTCTAATGGCCCTTCTATGCCGACGTCTGAAGTGTAACGGTAAGGCGTTCCGCCGTCACACGCAGGAGATCCAAGTTTGATTTCCGTAAGGGGAGTCATTTTATCCAGTATCTCAGTCTTTCTGTTCGGACGTTGTATCCCTATCAGCTCGGGCTGGCCCTGGCAGGCAAGACAGAGAGCCGCCTTCTAAATTATCTAAACCAGGAAAATGGGG